AGGAAAAAAACTTTTTGCTGTAGAAAGCAGATTAGCTTGCTTTTTGTTGCTCTTTTTCATAGTTTATCTGTCTCATGGCACACTGTCATGACACAGTAACAGTTTCAACAAATATGTAGCAAAATGTATTTTTTAATTAAAGTTAAATACTGCAGCTTTAAAGGATTTCTGACCAAGTGATTCATGCTTGTTCCTCCTCCTGCATAGTCGATTTTTAGGAAAGTTGCACATCTCCTTCCAGTATAGAGTGATATTGATGGCAGACTGCAGTTTTTAGCCGACGTGCTTTCTCTTCATTTAGGTGATGAAATATTGTTGAAAATGAAAGCAGCTCTGAGTGAAGAGCACGGAGAGCTGCAGGTTGCCTGATGAATGACTTTACTTAGAGCAAGCAGTTTAATGCTTAGTCATTATCCGTCATCCCACACATTTCTCTGCTTTTCCTTCACTTCTCCTTTTTGTCCTTGTAGTTCTCAATATTCTCTATTAGTCTACTTTCCTTTTTTTTGTCTGGTTTGACAAAAATTACCCACTCAGCATTTAATTTCTCATTATATTAAACGGGGACGATCATCTACTAATACTGACCAACATAAAATATGCAAACTGGACAAAAATTTTTTGGCAACATTTTTAGATTTTTAACTGCCTTTTATTTGCTAATTTAAAGCAATCTGAATTCTCAATCAAAGATTATTTCTACTCTACAGTTTGCATGATGTCAGACAATGAAGGCAGGAGACTGGAGGTCTGCATCCACAGATGTGCCTCTCTTAACCTGAAATGCTGAGTGGATCAAGTGTTTCTTGCAGCTGAAACTCAGGATAATTTTTGCTGTATTTCTTCATACTTGAACACTTCCAGGTAGATTTTCTTGTTTCAGATAGATTTTTTATGCTCTTCATCTTGCTGTACCACTTTAAGCTTTGCAGCTGGCAGGCAGCCACTCTGATAATGATGAATTTGGGGATTCACTTACTGATCAGGCTCTCACACCCTGATCTTAATAAAGAAGTTTTAAATCATCCTCCATTCTCCTCTTTAAAGATGTTTCTCAGGTTGACTGCAGCATACACTCCTTTAAATAATGCTTCTTTTTTTAAGTGGGAATTGACAAATAAATGTCTTCTAGTGTTTTATTGTTGCTTTTGTCTCTCCAGTTACATACCAGGGATGGGCAGATAAACATCAAATCAGTGCTTCATCCACACACAGGAAATAACATTAGCTCTTTTGGCACACACACACTTGGTGTGACCTCTTAACTCTACTGGCTGCCATGAGGATGCTGCTCATCTGTACACAGCTCTAAAAAGGCTGCAGTGTTTGCTTTAACCCATAAAGTATTTGCACAGCTGTACAGGATTTGTTTGTACAGTTTTTTCCTAACAATTTGTCAGTGATGTATTGAATCGAGGAGGAGACACTTGCATAGTAATAAACCTCTGGATTTAACTCTTCACTGTGACTGCTGAAATTTAATTGAAATTAAACAACTAATTTCTCTTAATTAGATGTTTGATTAAAATTAAAAAAAAATTATATATATATATATATATATATATATATATATATACTGCTCAAAAAAATAAAGGGAACACTCAAATAACACATCCTAGATCTGAATGAATGAAATATTCTCATTGAATACTTTGTTCTGTACAAAGTTGAATGTGCTGACAACAAAATCACATAAAAATCATCAATGGAAATCAAATTTATTAACCAATGGAGGCCTGGATTTGGAGCCACACACAAAATTAAAGTGAAATGTTCCCTTTGTTTTTTTTGAGCAGTATATATATAAAGTCCTTTAAAGTGCATGATATTCATACTGCTCAGTTTTGTTATAAAGTGTAATCTAATGATTGATTTAAAGCCTAAATTTGTTATGTACAGTCAAAACCAGCTATTTTCATTCATCTAATAAAAAGGCGCTTTTTTTCTCACTGAAGTTAAATCAGACTAAACTTCTTTTAGGTCAGTTAGAATCACCAAAATTATTGCTATTTCCAAAATTATTTCCATTTCCTTGATGCCAGAAAACTTTGCGGGGAACTTTTTTTTTTGGAAATTTTAAAGGTATGAAAGCTTACCTTTAAAATGCTTAAAGTGTTTGAATTTTACTGTGGAAAAAGTGCGTGAACCCTGATTTCTGTCTGTTGTAAGCCCAGATTTAATCACTGTAACTTCAGCTGCGGTAACGCTTTGTTATATTTGCGGACGGGAGGCTCTATTTTCGGTGTCACCTCCGTCATTTAAACACTGAGACACCTGAAACTTTTCCGTCATCCATCTTCTGCAGCATCATGCACTTCCTGTCTGGCTAAAATGTAATCTTGTAATACTAAGAGCAGTCTGGCATGATGATGATGAGAGGGAAGGTCACTGCTGACTGATCCAGCAATCTAATGCTCAGATCTAGTGTCTGCACCTCCCCCTGAATACAGCACTGTATTTCTTTCAAATACAATTACATGTGGAGTACGGACTCCTGGAAAAGGCTGCCATGCTTTCCATTAGCTGGTCTGTACACTGCAGGGTTCTTTTACATAGTGACATCTGGAAAAGAATATTGAAATTGAAGTGTTTATGGTCTGGAGTACTACTAAAATAGTGTGCAAAATATTTTTGCTTTCCACTTTTACTTCCTGTTCAACTGCCGTCTTTCCAAATAGGGGAAAGATCCAGTAAATTATCATTTAACTTGAGCATCATCAACACATCCTTCCCTCTCAGTTCTTCCATTCAGTCTGGGGTTTCTTGAATACGACAGAATCAACCATCTAAATGTGATCATGAATTTATGATGATTTTCTGAATTTAAACTTAAGTTTTAAAGAAGCAGCCCTACCCTTCAGTGTTTGCAGCATATCTTCTATAAACCTGTTGTGGAGAGTGCAGTCTGCTCCTGCTGGGTCAGCAGCATCAGAGACAGACTGAAAAAAGCTGAACAATCTGGTAAAGAAGGCTGGTTCTGTTCTGATGACTACGCTGGAACATCTGGAGATTATGGTGCAAAGAAGGACTCTTTATAAAACAGAACATGTTTGGACAACCCTGAGCATCCTTTGCACTGTCTTCAGTCAGAGGCTTCTTCAGAACTGCTGTATGATGGACTGGTACAGGAGACCCTTCACAGATAACGGCCTCTACGACTCTTGTTTCAAATTGTGCAAGTTGCAACAACATTTAATTTGTCTTTGGTATTAATAAAGTAAAAACTCCAGATTGTAAGGTAGTGAAATTTAATGCCCGATTTGAATTGAACAATTAATTCTGACAGCTGCAGAAACATCCCAGAGTTCTGTTGAATTTCTTTGATTATACACAAAAAGGAGGAGTGTGGAGTCCAGCAAAGTGTTTAAATTTGACTAAATATATTTGCATTGTCTAGTTTGAAGTTAGATTAACTTTTATTCAAAGCTGAGTGGACGGGTTGCTCAAGTAAACCAACCTAACCATACAAAGATTTTGTATGCAGGTTAGAATAAAAGGTGCTGTGCCGGCCCGGCCACAAGAACAGCAGGTAATTATATTAACTATTTTCTGTGTGCAGAGCTACAGTGGAAGGTCTCTGAGGTTTTTTGTTTGTTTTTTCAGATGTGGCCCTGGAAAGTTTAAATGAACAAACCGTTTAAACCTGAAAACATCCCAGATTTGGTGAAACTCACTGTTCCCTTTGATCAGGCCTCCTGCAGCATGCTGTACAGAAGCTTTGCTCATATCTTGCTCCCTCAGCTTCCTCTCCCTCCCCCATTTTTCTTTTTCCTTAAGATTTCTTACTCCTGCAGCATTGTGTGATCGCAGACTTCCACCACCCTCATGTCCTCAGCTCTCTGCTTGCATCAATCTCTAAGTGCCTCTGCTGGTTTGTAACACAAGCAGAGCCCTGTTTAGTCAGCCAGACCTTCCTTCTCTATTGATATTTGCGTTGACTTGGTTGCAACAGTAAGTAGATTAAGGGAGCAGTGATTTAGGGCAAATCAATTACTGTGGCTCAGAGGTCTGTGTTTGTGGTTTTACTGTAGCATTATTCTACCTTGTACATCACATCGCCACTTTCCTGAGAACATGCTGAACCCAGCGGAGAGGTATTTATATATTCATGAATAAAATCTTAAAACTCGCCAAATTAAAGATGGTGCAAGTTATGTTTGAAATTGCAAAAAGAAGATTCAAACAGGCTGTTGAACAGCTGATCAAGCGTTTGATTCACACTTCCATGACCCTTGATGACAAATGCCAAAAAGGTTTTCACCGTCTTTGAAATTGGCAGGATGGTGGTTCTGCACAACCAGAACCACGGCATTTTGTGTTGGTGTTTATTTTTAACTTTGTATTTTATGATTGACCTCTACTGCTCTTTGGTTGCCTTTGGTTTTTCAAAGGGCTGTATAAATAAGTAAATGAATGAATCCAGGGCTCTTTGAAGATGCAGGAAGATTGCATTTTCAATTTCTTAAAAGATCCAGGAATAAACACAAAGTGGTAGACCCAAACAGCTTCACCTGTACTCAGCTGGAAGAGCTGACTTGTGTCCATGACGACAAATCCTCAACAGAAATTAGGGCCTGACGCTGACTGCATCCCAAAAGCCTGCAGGAGAAAACCTCCCACATGAGACAAAGCCACCCATTTCTGCAAGGTTGCACTAAAGATGGGCATTGAAAACAGGAAAACTCTGATATTTGTCAGTGATTTTTAAAGAATTCCTTAAATATCTGGGTTGTATTGGGTTACCATGATGGAGCGCATGAACAGCCGGACAGGTTGTACATATCGTTGAGTGGTTTCGCTAAAATTAGGGCTCTGTGTCATATCGACATAGCGAGTGTCTTCCATCGGACTCATTCCATCCAGAGGAGACATCAAGACCGCTGAGATGTTCATGGATTTTGATCAGACTCAGAAACACCAGCATCATATAAGCATGAATCACATTATACTGCTAAAAGACATAATCTACAGATTAATACTGATTTAACAATATAATCAGGAGAGCAAATAAACAGCTGCTAGTGATGCAGTTTGTGAGGCGGCCATGTTGGTTGTTGATGTTGGGGTTGGTGGGAAATTTCTGGGGAATTGACTTCAGAGAACAAAGGTTCATAAAGTGATGTCTGTTTGGGTTCTGATCCCATTAAAGAACAGTGGGAGGTTTTGCTTTATTCTTTAAATTTGTCTTTTGATGCGGGTTTCAGATTTTTTAAGCTACAGTAATACAGGATGAGGCAGCATATTGGAGACCGAGGTAAGCCGAGTTTTCTTATTTTCTCAGCAATAATCTACAGCTGAAAAGGTCAAGTTAAGTCATTTCCCTCATCATGCTGCCACTGTTTCGTGCTGTATTTTTGCAGATATCCTTACAGTGCGGCTTGTGTAATACAGGAGATCACGTTTTTTTTTTTTTTTCTTTTTGCAAGAGAGAGAGGGTCCATGACGCGGGGCGGCTCTTCTCCTCCTTCCTCTTCCTCCCTATCCTCCCACCACTGCTCTCTGCTTTTGCATCTAAGTCCAGCACTTGTTGGATGTTTATTTTATCTCAATGTTTTCATCATTTGTTATTTTTTTTTTGGTCTATTTCTTTACATCTCCATCTTTGGATTCCCGTGAAGATCAGAAGGTGAACCCGTAGCTTTAAAGGCTACATGCGAGTAAAAAGGCGCTTGTCCCGGAGCGTCTCCGTCCTCTGACCAGTCTGGTCGTGCACCTCCGGTCCCGGATGTCTCCGCCCTGGTCAGCCTGAACTGCTGTGTGTTGGTCCCTCGGACTGTAGGGGTTTGTGTTTGTTTCTCAGCGGCGGAGTGCGCGCCGGACTCCGGCTCATCCTTGGAGAAGTTCCGCCGCAGTCCCATGCCCAGCGCTCCTCTGCGGCTGAGATAAGGATGCTGGCGGCTGTTCTCGGTCTGGGTCCACTGGGTCGCTTCGAGATGCGCTGTCCGAGCATCTAACTGAACCAGGTATGCTGTTATGGAGAAACAAAGCTGCATAATCAGATTTATTTATTTTTTATTCCGGCAGCTCATTTCATTAGTCTTTGTTAAATAATACATAATGCGGTCACAGCTAGTCCATGTTTACTTTCAATGTGAAAATGTTTAACTTCCAGCTGCCATTGCAAATAAAGAAGCTTAAGGACCGAGTCTTGGGGCTTTGCCATTTTGCAGCTGCTGTGATCTTCTGACATGTCATTAAAAACAGACCGAGAGAGGATGATGTAAGGCAAAGACTGAAACTTAAGGCAGTCAGCTTTTGAGTAAAAAAGTGTTGAAAAGTTTAATAAAGTCACATAAATTAGTCCAGAAATTAAACCATGTTGAGGTTTGAAAGGAACGAAACACAGGTTTGTATGATTTCTTTCAGTATTTAAAATTTTAAAAAAAGATTTTGTATAGAAAGATTTTTTTTTTTTGACAGTCCAAGATTCAACCTCTGAAGAAAGAAGCTGGCTGTTTACCAAGTTATGTATTCAAGGATAATAAGAAAAAGTTAAGTGGAAGGAAAAACTGAAGTAGAATAAGGCACTCACACTAACACATCAGTTCCTTTAGGATTTCTTGATTGTTTTTGCGATTTTTTCTCTCCAATAAAAATATTTTATTTTGTGGAAATATTTGCAAGAAATTTTGATATTTTCCTCATTAAACCCCTTCCAAAAACTACATAGAAAAGAAATAGTCTCATTGGACACAAATACTTTTAATCTTTAAAGAATTTGAATAGCTCAAGTTTTGTTACTTGCCACATTGATCACGAACTATAACTCATAAGTCTGAAGCTGTAGTGTAGTGAAAGTACGAAATACTGCCACCTGCAGGTGGGAGTTAGCTGTCACATAAACCCAACGGTTTTGATTATATTTTGCAAAAAATTGCAGTAAATTCTTAATTTTCATTACCATGAAAACTGCTGGAGATCTGTTGATTTCGCATATATTTTAGTGTTCGCAGAATAGCGAAAAACTGGAAGGAGGGACTGACATGTTGAAGACTTAGACTACAACTGATGACCTCTTTGAGTTAAGCAGAGGGAACATCGGAACGTCTTTCCACAGGTGAAGGAGGAAAAGGACTGAACTGTTGCCCACCAGTCCAAAGTTGTACTCTCAGATAAAAGTAAATCTAGCATTTCATTAGGAGGTCAAAATCAAAGTTTAATTATTAACAGCTACTTGAACAACACTAAAGTTTCATTCTAACATGTCACTTCAGGAAAATTAAATCCTACAAATAAATTGGTAAAGATGGAGCCAGATGTGTTTTCCTCCTGTTTTCTACACATGTGCAACATGATGCTATTCCTGCACCTCAGCAGTGAAAGTAGTTAAATGTACAGTAAAGAGTTTTTGCCTTTGCCCTGTTTTTTTAGCTTTCATCCCCTGAAACTACATTCTCATAATAAACAAAGAAAACAATGCTTCCAGTTTGGCTCTTCTGTACATTGCATTCAATGAGCAGCGATAAAATACAGTCAGGAGAAGCCATTGCGCTTTCACATCACCACTCAGCAGCAGGTGCAGGGCTGTATGTGCCACATTGACCCCATTTCTCACACAGGAAGGATGAAAAGTGCAGCTTGACTAAATAACTGTAGAGCAGCCTCTTTGCATCCTCCCGATTTCTCCCTCCACTCGCTGCTCCTCCTCTGCCTCCGATGCAACAGGAAGTGGGCTGATTTCCCAGAGGAGTCTGTAGTCAGGGCTGCCACTGCCAACAGAGCAGCAACAGTTAAAATGTATCTAATACAAGTTGAATAATGAGCCAACAGCTCAAAGCTGACAAAAAATATAACCTGCTGCTGCCTGAAGATCAGATTTAATTTACCTGCATAACCTTAAAACCTCTGACATAGTGGCTGTTTGCAGTAAACAGATGTGTGTTTATAAGCTTTTGCAAAATTTCAGCTTGATTGAACAAATGGAAGCTTTTAAAATCGAGTGTATTCATGATATGAAGTAATACACTGATCTCCCATGTTCTGTAGATGCTTTATAACACAAGGAGTCGCTGCTGTAAAAGTAAACCGTTTTTATTTACATTGTCACTTGATAAACAATAGGCCACTCTTCACTTTCAATAATGATTTATTATTATTATTATGATTACTAATCACTATTATTATTATTTATATGTGTTTCTGAGACATCACTGCATGTAAACCAACCCTTCAAAGCTCGAATAATTACATTTTTTCTTGTTTTTGATTATGTCTCCCTTGAGTGGCATTTATTTGTATATAAATAGTCTGAGACATTTGCAACAACTCTGCCTGGATATCAGGATAATTAAATCCAATTAAATGTATTAAACTAGTTTTTGATATACACAAATGGTGCTGACCCTAATCCGACGCAGAAAAACAGTGCTGAACTGACTTAACATGTTCCTTTTTTAAAATATCGACATAAATGTACTGAATTACAAATTTATTTTATAACTCTGCTTCATAAGCTTGGTCAAACGTGTAAAAACAAAACAACTTAAAGTTGTTCAGCAAGTGCAATTTGGAGAAACAGCCAATGAAAAGTAAATAACAAAGGAAATGAAACTGACAAAAACAGTAGGTTGACTACCTTGGTTGTAAAAACAATGTAAAAATAAACTGCAACAAACTTTATTTCAAATGGTTGAGAAAGTGCAATTATAAATTAGAAATATAATGAATAATAAATAATAAAGCATGAGGTTGTTCAGAGCTGAAAGTATCATAGATCTGCCGTTATTAATTGTCACGTTACCCGATCTAGAATTTTTTCAGTACCGGGACCGATAAAGATTTTAATATTGGACCAGTTCATCTCTAATAATTAGTGGTGAGGATTTATTACAATTCAACTTTTGTTGAACCCTAATCTTTCTCTTATAACATTCCTTGTATCTTAGTCATGGTTTGTAGCTGAAAAATAGATGAAAAGCTGTAATATTAAAGAACTGAGCCGGCTGGTTGGAATGATTCCTACCAGCGTTGGGTATATGTGGTTAAAAGAACAGGAGCCACATTCTTGCATCACGTCCAGACATGAAGAACATCTGAGGGTTTGACTGTGACATTTGGCTTTCTTTAATTAATAAAGATCTTACCCTGCTGAAACAGACTGCTGACATAATTTCAGTGTAAAACATACTCTGTGAGAAGAATTTAAATTAGTATTTTTTTTTATCATTAAAGCTATTTTTGCTGTAGAGAGTGGTTAGCTGTCAGATTTGGTCTCTATCTGACCCGCAGGCGGGATAGAGTACTCCGTCTGGTTCGGTTATAAAACACTTCTGCTGGAACAACATGCATGGAAGAGTGTGTTATAGCTGTGCAGTGTTTATATGTTTGTATGTTTGTGCATGGGTGCAGAGTCCAGAACCAGCCAGCAAGGAGGAAAGTGTTTCAGTGTTTCAGGGGCTGTGTTTGAATAATGCATCATCCCTTAAGGGTTTTGTGGCTGCAGGATTGGTATTTCTTGGTGTAAAGTTGCCAGTTGAGTGCACTGTAATCACACACTAAAAGTGAGCAGAGCTGTGACCAATCAGTGTCCAAAGTGCAAACATTTTAGGACAGGACTGCCACAAAGAGCTGCAGAAAGCGAGATCAGACTGTTTCACAGTTTTCTGGGTCACACTAAAAAAACCGTCCTCCATTCGAATCCACTTCAGTGAATTCATAAAGCAAATTTAATCTCACGTCAGAATGCAGGTCTGATCCAGTTAAATAGAATTCAGTCTGATTCAGTTCAAAACGATAATCTAACATACAGAGTGCATCTCAATGCATGTTGAATATCAGCAATTCATTTAGAAATCTGGGAATCCTACATTGCACTTTACTACAGAGTGATATATTTCAAGCATTGTTTATATTATTTTTTAATGATTATTTCTTTACCTGATATAAATTTGATGTACTTTAGTATTCTAATGTTGTTTGCCAGAAAATTGGAATACTGCGTAAGACTAGTGAAAGAAAATGATGAAAAAAAGATAAATATATCTGTACTCTACAGTATTCTTGCTCTTGGCTCGTTTTGCATGGATTTCATGGAGGTGATCAGCCTGTAGCTCAGCTGAGAAAGCCCAGGTTGGTTGCTTCTAGTTGCCTTCAGTTTGTCTGGATTGTTGATTCTGGTGTTTCTTATGTTCCTCTTGAACTTAACCTCATAGTTTCTTCGTAGGGCTAGACCAGTTTGATAGCCAATCCATCTCAGTTGGTCATTAAAAGTAGCTATTCCTACTTTTGTCAGTGTGGGCAGCAAGAAAGTCTTGTTTGAAAATGAAATCAGCCTCTCCATGAAGCCTATAAGCAGAAGGAAGCTTTTAAGCTCTAAATCTTCCTGGCTTTTGGACTTATTAAAACATAATACACCAACACTAGCAGATGACATGTCGCCACAAATAATCTCTGACAGTGAAACTCCAAATGCTAAATGTACTTTCATGTAAAATATTATTTCAGACCACTGAACAACCATCCAGTCCCTTCCCTTTTCTACAACATTGTTTTTTCTTCCTCATTTTTTAATTTTTTTAAATGCCGTGTCTTTGTGCAGTTTAGTGATACAAATACAAATTACACTTTTTATTTGACTGGTGTGCTAAATAGATGTATTATAAATGGGAATGTTTTTCAAGAGCAGTATTTGTGTTTCTGGACAGATTTAAGTCCATATCAGCACCTCCAGCTCTACCTGCCAGGTTTGACCCAACTTAGTACATTTATCTAAGATGCCGCGTCAAAGCTGGTTTCTGAATCACTCCTGTTGCTAAACTCTGAAAAATATTAATTCCCGTCTTTCTCTCTTGTTCTCAACAACACAGTAAGTAGTCTGAACAGCCAGCTTTTTTGTTTCTTGCCCTCTTTCAGTGTTATAAATATTTACTTCTTCAAATGAGATGAGGAAGAAAC